TGCCATGGAGAAAAAGAGAACAGTTAAGAGGGCTTGGGAAGGCCATGTTGGGAGTGTTTCAATTTTAAATAAAGATGGATCACTGAGGGAATTCCCTGGCAGCCCGGTGGTTAGGACTCCGAGCTTCCACTGCAGGGAGCACGGGTTTGATTCCTGATCGGGGAACTAAGATCCCGCACGCCGTGCGGCATGGCCAAAAAAAGAAAGAAAGAAAGACGGATCACTGATGAATGAGAGATTTCAACAAGTGCTTAGAATATGGAAAGAGGATGAGAACTCTTATGAGTGAAACAGGTGGAAGCAGCAGCTGAGAACATTGTCTAAGCCAGCTAAAGAGGAGGTAGGAGCCAGCTGGCTTGAGAGAATCCAGGGAAGCTTTGGGCTCAAATTCAACAGGTTATGGCAGAGGGTAGGAGTGAGAACAGGGAACTAAAATGGGGGGTTTTATTCCTCAAACAGGTTTGTGAGCCCATGGGTCTCTTGTATTATTTGTATGCCGTACACATATTTTCCAATATCCTTTCATATCTGCTCAGTGCATAATAAACAGACTCACATACAACCTGGAGCATGGACGGTGGGGGCGGGGGGTGGGGGGGAGGTGGGAGGATAACTGCTCCAACACACTGCCCTACCCCTCTCTACACTGAAGTTTGCAAAGTGCAGGTAACATTTTCCCAGGCAGAAAACATGTCTCTTCTCTAAAGAAACTGAATGAAACACCTGAGGTCAGCAAGGGCTTGCATAGTGGATGTTGGCACCACAGAACACAGCCCTCCTGACTCTGCTATTTCTCATTCTGCCCCACGCAGAGCTTCCAGCCAGATATTCTCATTCGGCAAAGGGACAAGAGGTAAGCCAGATCTAATTGCATAACAGCAGAGGAAATCTACACCGGCTTATTTTACAGGGCACTTGCTAAGGGGCATAGAGCTGGAAAGCAGCTGACCTGGGATTTGAACTGAGGCCTTCCTTCCAAATTTGTGCTCTTAGCTACATGCTGCCCTGCCTCCCTCTTAGCTTGTGCGTCTCTTTTCCTGGGTAAAGGAGACAAAAACCAGCATCTACATTTGTATCTGTGGCCACAAGCTGACCTGGATTTTTCTGGCTTTGTTTGGGGCAGGAGTTGCTCCCATTTACTCAGCAGACATTTATGGAGCATTTTGTGTGCAACGCTCTGTGCCACATCCCAGGCTTGAGAACAGAAGGAAGTGCAGACATCAGCCACCAGCACCACCCTCCTTGGAACAGTTGCAGGTTAGAGAGCTGAAGCCCAGAGAAAGGTTACTGGGGAAGACAGGGGGTCCCAGTCAAGGCCTGCTCCTGGCCCAGCCCCGTGAGCCCTCAAAGCCCTGCAGAGTTCCTGAGTCAGCGGCTGGACCAGGCTCTGAATTGTAATACCCGAATAACACTTCCCGATTCAACAATGGGCTGGGCTGGGATGCATCCATCCTCTTGTTTGTGCTAGGGGTCTCCAGGAATTAAATGATTTGGTCTCCCTGCCAGGCCCTGGCTCACAGGTATGCGCCTTCCAGCAGATCCCAGCTGAGTGCACATGCGTCTGCTGACCCCTTGTGGTCATTGTGGGATCTGTGCTGGCCCAGCAGTTGGGGCCTTGGTTGCACCTCTGGGACTTTCTGCCCTGGTGACCTCACTTCTCAAAGCACTTTGCCACCACTTATCTCGTGGGGTCCTCCCTACAATCCCAGGAAGTGAGGAGAGCCAGGATTCCCATTCCCACTTTACAAATGAGTGGCAGCGCCCTGGCATCCAGTCCCAAATCCAACACTAATTCCTTATCTGACCTTGGCAAGACAGTTCCCCACTCTCTGCCTCTGTCACCCGTTGATGAAATAAGAGGAAGGGCCTGTGTGAGGCAGCTCTGAGGTTTTTCCAGCTCCCCAAACTCTCAGCGCGGAGATGTGACTTGCCCAAGGTTGGAATGAATCAGGGCAGAGGCACTCCCAGTCGGCAGGTCACCCCACTTCCCCACAATGATTGGGAGAAGTGAGAGGTGTCACAGCAAACAAGAAAATCAGTTTCTCCACCTTTGTGTTCTGATTGTGGGGTGAAGTGCCACATGGACAGATGGATAAGTGAGTGGATAGGTGGATGGGTATGTGGATAGATGGATGGGGTGGATATGTAAGAACTTTGGGATCACTCTTAGTTGCAACTGCCTCCCCTGCTCCCTGACTAACTGCCCCTATAATTCTAGCTGCCTAGCCCCTTGGTAGGCTGCTCCACATCCACCTGCTGGGATCTGAAGCCACTGCCCCTGCCTGACAGCCTGGAGCTGGGATGTGCCATGAGGGGAACAAGTCCTCACCCAAGAATTCCTCCCTGCCATGTCACTGACCACATGGCCAACAGTGGTAGCCTAGGAAGAAAGTCAGGGCCCAGGGCCATGAATGGGCATCCCTCACAGAGCAGTTCCTGCAGCCGACAATGGCTGAAATTGAGGGCGGTGCTTGCAATGAAGCCAAGCATCACTGGGGCCAGGTGGTGTGGAAAGAGTACGCCTTATGCATCTCACACCCTGGTTCAAACCTAGAGACTCCAAGTAAGTTCCTTAGCCTCTCTGTGCCTCGGTTTCCTCACCTTAAAAGTGGGCGTGATACCTGAAGAGTACAATTGTGAGGACTGAATGAGGTAGGATATAAAATGCCTTGCGTGTAACAGGTGCTCGGTAAACAGAAGTTCCCTCCCTTTGTTCCAGGTCATGGAGAACTCTGGAGAAGGAACTAGGTCCACTGTGCACCTAGCAAGATTTTTAAACTGGGAAGGCTTTTCAAGTACCCTAAAGGAGTGAAGTGCATGTGGTGAAAGGGGAGGAGGGAAGGAAATGTGTCTTCATGAAGAATTAAAGGTACACCCAAAACACTCAATCCCATTAAAAGAGCATCATTCATCTGCCCCCTGCCATCAGCACGGTTCTTCAGACACAAAGGATATTCCACAAAGGTTTCCTGAGGACAAAACTGAAAACATCTTTACATAGCTAATGGGCAATGGTCAGGACTCCTGTGTTCTGTTCTTCCACTTCCTGGGTGGGCATGTGCCTCATCCACAGCTAACGCAGCCTAACTCTCCCTAACAGACTGTCCATCACAGAATGGGTGACAAGTTCCCCTTAGCTACTCGGTAGAAGGGGGACCTGGAGTTTAGTCCAGCTCTCTGTGAAACACCTAACCTCAGGTAGCTGACAACACAGCTGAGGCTCCACATCACCGTCTGTGAACTCATGCTCCCGAGGGCTCAGGGTCCCTAGCCTCCACTTCCAACTAGAGTGATAAAGATTGGGAGCTTATCACATGGCACTTAGGAGATGGTCTTTGGATGAGACAGGCTTGAGGTGGGCTTTGTCACTTACTAGCTGCCCAATCTTAGGTGGGATTCTTGCTCTCTGAGCCTCAGTTTCTCATCTATAAAACGGGGCTAAGAAAATTACTTACTTTGTTGTTGGGAGGAATCAATGACTCATGTCTGAAAAGAGCTGAGCCTTGTGCCTGGAATATGAGTGCTCAATAAATGTGACTACGTCAGTGGTTTTACTGGAATGGGCTTCCAGGTGAGACTTCATTTGAACTAAGAGTTCCGTGTGTGTGTGTGTCCTCTGGACTAAAGAATCCCTAAGGCCCTCCTTAGCTTCAGGATTCTATTTCTTAGATAATATCTTCCCATCCAATACTCCTCCATTCTTCCTTCACTGATTTTCCTTCCCTTTTATTTTTTTTTTCTCTCAACAATTAGGCGGTTTCTCCAGAATTTCATCATTTCTTGTTCCTTACTTAAATACAACATCCTCTGGTTTTTTTCATGCAAAAATGGGAAGACTAAGTCCACACAGTCTGAAACGAGTTAGTGGCTTATAAAGTGACTTATTAGGTTGACATGCCAACTCCCCCACCTGCCCCACTCCCAGGGGTCCCCCAGTCCGTTGGGCCACAGCATGAGGATGCAAAGACCCTCTGCCAAGGCCAGCCATCCAGGGAAGAAGGGTGCATGTGGCCAGAGGCTAGACTGGGGTGAGGCTCAGAGAGGCTGCATTAGGGAAGATCTAGTAGGTGGAGAATTCCTGGGGACACTCTGGAGAAAAGAGGGGCTAGGGCTGCTCTGTGGGCCTTCTGAAGACACCAGGATCCCCAAAGCCTTCCTTTCCCCTTCTCTAGGTACAGTGCCAAGGAAAAAGACTGTTGTTGAAGTGAAATGAATACACAAAATATAAGAAACACATCAAAATGCTAGCAATGGTTGATCTACTAGAAGAATTTTTGTTTTGGGCAAATGTGGTCATATTGCTTGTATAATAAAATTTAAATATTTAAAGTCAATTATTCTAATCAGTTGTGTTCAGCCAAGAAAACAGACAAAAACCTAGAAAAAAACTATTTGGGCTCCCACTGAAAAGTATCATGTTTTCAAAAGAAGACCATTAAAAGAGAAAATAGGGGACTTCCCCGGCAGTCCAGCGGTTAAGAATCTGGCACTTCCAGTGCAGGGGGGTGTGGGTTTGATCCCTGGTTGGGGAACTAATAAGATCCCACATGCCATGCAGTGGGCCAAAAAAAAAAAAGGGAAAATAAAAGCATCATTGACATCCGGTTCCCCACACCTGGATGAGGATGAGGACGAGGACGAATGAAGAGGGCTTCTGAAAGCCACCAAGAGGACTGAGGTCCTTACCTAGCAACTGTGGTGATGCAGAATGACCACTCCACGGCAGTCGGGAAACCTGCTTCTAGTTCTCTGCCACTAACTTGCTGCATGACCTTAGGCAAGTCAGGTCACCTCTCTGGGCCTCAGTTTCCTCATCTGTAAAGTGAGAGGACTTGGTTAACTTAAAAAAATATGTACCAGGCCCTTACTCTGTGCACTGTGCTGAAGCTGTAATTAAACAAAGGAATGAACATTTATTCAAAAAACATAGAGTAACTACTCAATGTTACTGGGCATTGTGGTTGCAGAGATGAACGAGTCAGCATCCTGGCCATCGAGACATTCACAATGTGGTCAGGGAGACAGGGAGCAACAAAAAATGGCCAACTGCATGCTCAGTGCAGACAGATGTGTTGGCACGGGAAGGAGCAGCCTTTTCTGGTGGGGCTGGGTGGGGGAAATGGCACAGAAGAGGCCTGAACTAAATCTTGGGGGATCCTTGGCCCCCGCTGTCAAAGACTGTACAGTCTAATCAAGGGCTGGGACAAATACCCAAACATCTACCACGGAAGGCAGAGAGAAGCCACCACAGGTAAACCAAGTTCAGAGTGGAGGGGAACCCATGTGGCTTGGGCAGGGTGTGGGAGGGGCAGGCAGGAGGCAGAAGACAGTCAGAGAAGCTTGTGGGGTGGGGGGGATGGCATTGAGATAAGGCCTGAAGGATGCAGAGAGCTTCCTGAGAGACCTGAGGGGCTGAAGAGGCATTCTAGATGAGGAGCCTGAGCAAGTAAAGGCATGTCGTGGGCTGTCGGGGCACAGCTGGGACAGCAGGCAGGCCAGGAAGTGGGGACTGACAAGGCTGGAAGCTAGCTGCAGGCATCGTGATGAGAGCCACTGAGAATGACAGGCCCCGGGCCAGGCGCTCCACATCCTCATGCCAGTTCTTGGAGGTAGGTTCCCGCACTACTTCCCCATTCTTTAGGATAAGGAAACAGAGGCTCAGAGAGGTTACAAAGTCACACAGCTGATGGATGGCAGAAATAGCCCTTAACCCAGGTCTGCCTGATGCCCCACCCTGACTCCTTACCACTGGAATGCCAGGCAGCGGCATTACCGAGCCCTTCTCATCCAAGGTACCACTGTCCCAGTGCACCTGGCCTGGCATTGTACCAGACATGTGGGTACCAAAGGTCATACCTTAACCTTGGAAGCTGGTTCGATTCAGCCATTTCCACTTGGGCAGCTACAGGACTATCAGAATCAGCTTCACCAGAAAAGAGGGAATGGGACAGGGCAAGAAATATTAGAATTGCTGAGGGGTTTTGTGCTCCACTGTCCACTAGTCTCATTTATTGTTGTTCTACAGTGGTGTAGACTGGCTCCCTTCCAGCTCTTCTCCCGTCAGCCTAGTGTCATCATGGCCCCAGGGCAGATCACTCTGCCTTGACTAGGGTGGTTGGTCTTTCTTGTTAGGCTCCTTGTACACTCGGATGCTATCCAGGTACTGCCAGACGTTCATGGATTCCCGTCGCCAGCGCCCCAGCTTTCTGAGCTGGTCTGTCGTGAATTTTTTTTTCAGGTGGTCATACAAGTGGCCCATCTTTCTTGGTCTTGTCTGAAGCTCTTGTCTTACAAAAAACAAAGGTGAGTTTAGGATGAAGAAGCTACTTCACAGTAAGAGAGGCATCTGTGCTCCTGATAGGAGGGTGGAAAAGGAGCCAGCTGAACCCAATATTTCATCAATAACTTGGCTCACAGGGAGCCTCTGTTTCCCTATTTTAAAGTGAGGGCATTGAGCTAGGTAACTCCTATGGTACCTTCTGACAGTCTGCAGCCTCAGAGCCTGATTTTGACCTAACATCTCTATTTGAAGAGTGGTGAGAAAGAGAGGGGAGGGGAGGAGGAGAAAGGGTGCATCTTGTAAACCCCCTTCCTTAACTCCTATCACCCAGTCCCTATTACTCACTTGGTGCCCCCCACATATTGTTGGTGACACCCCCTATGTCACACTGAACTCTACTTATTTATTCTATTCTACCATTTCTATCCTGTCCCCAACAAGACTGCTAGCTTTTGGAAGGCATATCCTTTGTCTTATTCATTTACTTATTCCAATGAGGTAGCTGTGGAGAGGATACTATGAAAAATCAGCTGCAGGTCTTCACAGCAACTACAACATTAGTCAGGAAGATGGGACACATGCCCAGATATTTCTAAGCAAGGCACAGAGTGATAGCACTTTTACTATGGATCAGGGTCTCTTGACCTTGGTACTACTGACATGGGGCCAGGTAATTCTTTGTGGCAGGGGGCTGGCCTGTGCATTGTAAGATATTTAGCAGCATTAGCATCCCTGGCCTCCACCTACTAAATGCCAGTAGCACCATCCCACTCTCACTTGTGCTACCAAAAAGGCCTCCAGACAGTGCCAGAGTCCCTGAGGAGCAAAGCCATCCTGGTTGAGAACTGTGGCCATAGATAAAGGGATACCGGCCATCATGCACTGTTCTCAGAGCGTTGCTCAGAGGATTCCCAAGACACTAGATCTTAGCTGCCCTCCTGGAGGCCCTGAGAAGCCAGTGGCTAGCCAAAGCTGGGAGCACTTTGCGGGGGAGAGAGAAAGACTGCCACGCTGCCACTCAAGCCTCTCAAATCTACTGAGTTCCTACAAGCTGGGCCCGCAGCAAGTCACTGGGTCTACAGAGAAGACAGTCCCTGTCCTTAGGGAGAACATCCTGCACCATGGTCAGTCAGACCTGGGTTTGCAAGTCCGCAATGACACCCCTTAGTGAAGTTACTCCATCTCTGAGCCTCGGTTTGCTGAACTATTAAATGGGATAATAATACATAATGGACATTGTGTACCCAAAACATGTAAGCGTTCAATACGGCTTCAAAAGGAGACCTTCTGGATGGCTGGAGGATGGCACATATAAAGCCAACTCAAGAGAGTTTCCAGTTATATCTCACAGATCCTCACCCCACTTACCAGAGGTGCAATATCTCCAAACCCACTAGTTACAGGGGTTGGCCCCCAACCCATCCTGGGCCAGTCAGAGTAGCCTACACTACCTGACCACAGTGACTGGGGCATGGATGGGCCCGTGACCCAACTTGAGCCAACTGGAGTCCTTCTCCAGGATTTGTCTAACTTGACCAACAATGGAAGCACTCCATTTCCTTTCTGGGCTACAGGCCAGGGTTTCCTGTGGCCATGCTCCCCAGGGACAGCCAGCCTGATAACGATGCCAACATGCAGAAAGAAGCAGAAGGGGAGCTGATAGGGAGAGTGGAAGACACATCCAATGGCACTGGAGTCCCTGACATCACTCATCCCAAACATTGGTGACCCTGCCCTATCTACCCTTGATTATGTAAACTCATCATTCTCTATTTTGCTTGAACGAGTTCAAGTTCAGTTTGTGTCACCTGCAACTGAGAGGATCCCAATAGATCCTGTTTTACAAATGAGAAAAGAGTCCTGGAGGAAAAGTGACTCCCCAAGTTCACACAAAGCTGGCCTGCCCATGTCCAAGTCCACCCTATTTCCACTACACCACGCCACTGGAAATTTAGCAGAGGGAGAAACACCCAGGCCTCCAGTCTTCTTTTGGTCTCTGTGACCCTTAAGAGGATCTGACACCATCTCTTACATCTTTCCCACTGTTTTCAATGTCAGAATCCCATGCGCCATCCAGATTTGGTCCTGGAACATGGAGGGAGGTTCAACAGAGTCAAGAAGGGGACAGCGGCTCAACTCTGGGCTGCCTGCTCCGCTGGAAGAAACGAGTACATCCTCAGAGTCCATCATGTTCACTAGCCTCTTCCTAGTGCCCAAAACAGTGCCTGTCCCAAGCAGGCCCCAAATATGTATTTAATGAATTAATCAGGGTCTGTGGGATGCTGCTGCTGCGGTTTCCCTCTTCTTCTGAGGGCTTCTGGGTAAGCAGGTCAAACCCTTCTTGTTCATAAACAAAAAGTAGAAGAGCCTCAGTTCTCATGTGGAAAGTGAGGGATAATCCCTGAAGGAAAAAAATGACCAAATGGTGTCAATGCCACTTCAAGCTCTAAGAGCCAAGACTTCTTTTTATGGGAGATAGTAGGAATCCATTCAGGGAGTCCCTAAATAGAAAGCTAATGTACTTTGAGGGAAAAAAATGCCACCAGAGCCAAGAGACATGGAGTCCTCCTTGGTTCCCTCAGCTCAGGAACAGCTGTGACACCTTGGGCAAATCAGTAACCCTGAGTCTCAACTGCCTCCTCTGTAAAATGGGCTTGTATTAGAGTACTTTGATGGCTTCCTATAACCTCTAAGATCTGTGATCTCCCCGCAAGGTTTTGGGGAGAGTGAAATGAACATGGATCAAGCCACTAACACCCTCTAATGCAAAAGCTTGTGACAACTTTACCTCCATCTCATAGATTCGTTGTGCACTGAGGTTGTCACGAATAATCACCCGAGATAAGTGGCTCTTGGGTAAAAATTTTTTCAGTGCTGCTTCACTGGAATTCATTAAGCTGGAGAGGGAGGACAAGGTGGTACAGGCTTGATGGCTAGGCCAGGGCTAGGACAGGACCTGATCTGATGGGATCCTGGGGTAGTGGCTGAGGCTTCCCCAAGTTTCTTGGGAGAGGCACCACCCTGTCATAGTTGTCAGAGGAGCAAGGGAGTACGCCTAGGTTTCTTCTTGTAGGAAATGTGCGCTAAATGGGTGTTTCTTGGATGCTGAGAGGGAAAACCATCCTGAGAAGGATGTAGAAAGGTCAAAGTAATCCACAAGAGAAGTGTCAACAGGGATTCAGAACTGTTTACAGGAGCAGTCATCTTAAGAAAACACAGTTTGAAATGGGAGGCGAGGATCTTAGATGAAAGAAGCAAAGTCAGAGGGATGAATCTGAGGGGGGTTGAGGTGGGGGGGCACTGCTCAAGCCTAGGTATAAGGGGGATCTGGGTGGGGGAGGTCAGAGGAAACAGGAAAAAAGAGAATAAAGTGTTTGGACAGAGGTTAGGTTGGTTGATGGGGGAATTCTAAGGGAAAAGGGTTTGGGAAAAGTCTGGAAAAGTGAAGGAAGTTTGGGGTGGACAAGGACTTGAGGAGACTCTGGAGGGTGAGAGGTCAAGTTGGGATGGGATGGAGTGTGATGGAATGGAGCCAGGTGCTCCAGGCCTAACTAGAGATAACAATTTGGTCAAAATGAGGAATTGGTCAAAAATGGATAATACCAGGCCTTAAGTTTTCACTTTTTGATAATTTGGTGACACTGTGAAGTGGTTTTGCAACTACATATCTTTTCCCACTTAAAAATAATTATTCATAATATTTTCTTTCTAAAATTTGGAAACTACCTATATATACAATAGGGAAGCAAATGAATAAATTGTGGTTAGGTCATACAATAAAATATTATGCAGTTATGAGTAAAACAGACATCCAAAGTGTATTGGGTGGGGGAAAAAAGATTACAAAATAGTAAACTGTTTTGTGACATATACCCCCCCAAGCCCCCACAAAAAAAATGTGTAAGCATGTTGCAGTACATATATATGAATAGATCTGGAACAACATATACCAACATGGTAATAGTGATTGTCTCTAGCCATTCATTTTGCTTGCCTGATTTTTCTATGATAAATGTATATTACTTTGATAGGACAATTTTTAAAGGATAAAACATTTTGAAGGATTAAAATTTTTCCTAATTCATTTTCAGCCAGTTTGGAACTGTGGTTTTATGAATGTTTTTACATTTACAAACTAGTAGAAATAAACACCCCTTATCTCCCGTTTACGTTTTTTCTAAAAGCAAAGACATGAGGTGTTGGAAAAGGTTAGTTTAGAGATCAAGATGCTCACAAAAGTCTCCCAAATTCCGTCAGAAAAACAAACAAAAAAGACCTAAAATACTTAAAGACACATGAAACAGTCTTCACCCACTCAGTGGTGCACCAAATTTACCATTAATTCCTGGGAAGGGGGGAAAAGGCAGTTTTATGGAAATATTCCCTTTCAAGTAATAAATAATGATCATTTTGAACCAAATTGCTTTCCAAAGCAAGGTCTCTGTGGGAGCCTGGAGGATGCTGTGAGGGATCTGTGAAATGGAGGAGGAGAGGGGAAACTGGGGTCTGTGGGGATTGGGGCCCGGCTGAGGGAACTGGGGGCTTTCCCTGGGCCACTGCGGAAAGTAGAGGCTGAGGAGGGGGTGTGAGGCCTGAGGGGACCTGTGCCTCATCAGGCTCTAAGGAAGTTCAAGGCTCGGCCCAGAGGGCGCTAGGGACCCTCGGGATACACGACGTCAAAACTGGGACACGAGAGAGCCGGGCCCGCGGCGATTCGGAGGATACGTGGGTTGGAGGTGGGAATTCCAGACTCCCTTGGAGTCTGGACTGAGGGCGTTCGGGCTCCACGGCGGGCGAGGCGCTGGGCTGGGAAATTCAGACTCTCCCGGGGTCTAAGAAAGGGCTGGGCTCTGAGGGGCCCGAGGCTCTGAAGAGCCAGGGCCAAGGTCCCCGCGGCCGGCTTAGGGAGCAGGGGTCTGAGGGAGTTCGGCTCCCCCCGGGGGCCCGGGCTCTGACTAACGCTCTGTGCCCCCGGGCCGCACCTGAAGAGCAGCGGCGACTGAGCGGTCCGCGGCCGCAGGAAGCAGATCTGTCGGGGCGGCTGCCGAGCCTTCCGGCTGCGCCGGAAGAAGGCCGAGGCCGGGCTGGTGCCAGAACTGGTGGTCGCCCGGGGGCCCACCGCACAAGCAATGGGCGACCCTAGGTTCCATGTGACGGAGGGCCTGGGCTGCTGGCTAACTGCAGGATTCTCTCCTTCCACCTTAGAGAGCGACTCGGGAACGGGAACCCGGTCGGTAACCAAGATCTGTGACGGGCGCAGACGCGAGGAGCTGAACACCGCGCGTTGCCCGGGAGACGCGAGAGGAAGGCGGGACCGGGGTGGGGGGTTGGGGGCGGGCCTTGTGCGCAAAGCCCCGAAGGCTGCGGACGCGGCAGGATTGTCCCTCGGCAGCTGCCGTGGTGCGGCCCGGAGCGTTGCCATGGAAACTGGCTGGGGACATGCTGCCGGGTGCAGCGCACAGAGCAGACCCTACTTCTTGACTAGGACTGCTGTAGTCCCCGCGTGATCGCAGGGCGGGTAACCGGGTGAATCCGGGCGGGGCAGCTCCGGGACGGGGAGACGAGGCCTGGGTTTCTCCGGAGACCCAGCACGGCCCATTCCTCCCCGCGACAAGGGACCATTGCTATGGAAACTGGAGCACCGGGCCGGCGGGGACTGTGGCTCCTGGGTCGTGACCGGTCTTCTCTCACCTGGAGACCCTCGCCCAAGGTTGTTTCCTGAACTAACCTGCCCTCCCGCCCTCGAGAGAGAGGTAAGACACCGAGGTCTTGACACTGAGCGGGCGAAGAAGCCCATTCCAACGCCAACTCCCCAGGAAACCTACCTGACTCACCCCTGGAAGCGGCCCCTTTCTCCCGTCAACACTTGGACTTTGTTCCACGTTTATAACCCAGTATTAACGAAAACTCCGCGGTTTTTACCCACTTTTCCCACACATGAGACCAGAAAGACCGGCTTTTGAACCTTGCTTTGTGACCCTAGACAGGTCCTTTTCCCCATTCCGCCTCACCTTCCCCGTGTGTAAAATGGAGATATTAACTCCAGACACCGGCTCGTTATGCTGTTTTGGAGATCGAACCAAAGGCTTTGTACGCTATAAAATGGTGAAACTGAGATGCTGCCGAGTCGCTCTTTCTCCCTCTCCCTCTCCCTCACGCTAAACGTTCTTCAGATCTTTGTGTCATTTCTTCAGGCGATCTTCGCAACTCCGTAGCCCCAGCCTGAAATAAATACCATTATTCTTCATTCCCATAATGCCCTGCATTTTAACTTTCCTAAGAACAGCAACAGTAGTTATCATTTGTAGATAAATGTGCCAGGCCCTGTTGTTAAACACTTTACCCAGGTTACCTCATTTAATCCTCAGAAGATTCTTATAAGGAGGCACTGTTATCCCTATTTTCCAACTCTGTTGCACCCATAATCGCCTATTTAATGTCTGTCTCTCCCACTAGACTTTGAGCTCTGAGGGGGGGGCATGGCTGACTTGTACATTTCAGTATCCCCAGCACCCACTACAGTGCCTGATAAATATTTCTTGACTAGCATGAAAATGACTTTCCTCTCATTATTACCCTCACCTTGCAGAGCAGTATCTCCTCTGCACAGTTTTTGTCCCTGTGATGAACAGCAGTCTCTCCTATTCCTGTTGCCCACTAGGTACTAGTTTTGGGGGCCCTCAGTCCACTTCTCTCTGGGTTTTCAGATGATGAGGATCTGGAACATTCCTTAGCATTTAGGCTTCCAACTGGTTGAAGTTGGGGGTGGGGCTTTTCCCCTACCCTCACAAGACTTCTAGAACAAACCAACCCCATCTGCCCTACCTGGGGTGAGCCTATTGCATTGGACTCTGGGGTACTGGCAGGTAGGATTTGTCGACGCAGCCTTTGGCCTTCCTCTCCAGCAGCCTAAGAACCACCCGCACCTCCACCCAGCTCCTCCCCAAAGTTCTAGAGAAACATGGCCAGAGACCTCATCTTTTCCAGAAAACCTCTCAGGAGGCAGAGTTGTGGTTGTTGGAGTCATTTCTTCACTCAGCAAATATTTTTAAGCACCTACTTGTGGGGACACGCAACTGGGCACTGGTGATATAGTAGGAGTGAAGATAGATGCAGTGATATCCCAAGAGAACTCACAGACAGATCACGGCAAAAGCACTTCTTCAGGAAATGTTAGGAAGCAGGGCACATAGGGCCTGCCTGGAGCTGGAACTTGATCAAATATGGGGGAGGGGTGTAGTTCTGGAAGGTTTCCCTGAGGAAGTGACCCTTGGCTAAGATCCCAATGCTCAACAGCTGAATGGAACAGATTAGGACCTGACAGGCTTGTAAGGAAAGGGGGTTCTAGGATGAGAGCAGGAAAGGCCCTGGGCCAGAGAGGACCACCCTCCATACGGAACTGTAAGTGGCTCAGCCCAGCCAAGGCCCTTCAGGATGCAGGAAAGGTTAACAGGAGGCTGAAGAGGTGGGCAGGAGCTGGGCCACAAATGGCCTTGACAGCCAAGCTTAGGGGCTCCATCTCATCGTGACAGTGGGCAGCCACTGAATTATGTTAAGTGGGGGGACAGAACTTTGGCTCCTCATTTGTCCCTTCTCCCTCCTTGCAGTTTTCTATGGACACAGCCTAGCAGGAAGATGCAGCATCTATGTCTCACTGGCCGCTGAGCCACCAGCCCGATGACAGCATCTCCGTGTGCCTTCCCGGTTCAGTTCCGGCAGCCCTCGGTCAGCGGCCTCTCACAGATCACCAGCAGCCTGTATATCAGCAACGGGGTAGCAGCCAACAACAAGCTCATGCTCTCCAGCAACCACATCACCACAGTCATCAACGTCTCAGTGGAGGTGGTGAACACCTTATATGAGGACATCCACTATGTGCAGGTGCCTGTGGCTGACACACCCATGTCACGTCTCTGTGACTTCTTCGACCCCATTGCAGACCACATCCACAGCGTGGAGGTGAAGCAGGGCCGCACCCTGTTGCACTGTGCCGCCGGCGTGAGCCGCTCGGCCGCCCTCTGCCTTGCCTATCTCATGAAATACCACGCCATGTCCCTGCTGGATGCCCACACGTGGACCAAGTCATGCCGGCCCATCATCCGGCCCAACAATGGCTTTTGGGAGCAGCTCATCCACTATGAGTTCCAGCTGTTTGGCAAGAACACTGTGCACATGGTCAGCTCCCCCATGGGAGTGATCCCCGACATCTATGAGAAGGAGGTCCGTCTGATGATTCCACTGTGAGCCATTCCACCAGCCCCTGCCCCAGGGCCAGAGGTACAGATCTGCCATTGATCCTACACCAAGATCTGTACTTAAAACATTCTACTTTCACTGATACAGAAAAACCAGATGATGCCTTTTTTAAGGGCAAGTAAAAAGGAAGGGTACTGCAGCTCTTAATCTTATAATTCATAACTTTAAAGATTCAGCTTATTAAATGTAAGATGGTGAAGATAAGTTTCCTACCCTGTGAGTGACAGCTCATGGCTGCTGACCAGAGGGAAGAGTGAACCAAATGGACCAGCACCCTGCGCATATGGCAAGTTTGGTATTCTGCAGCCCTCCCCACGACCGACCAACCCAGGAATGGGTCTGCCACAATCCCGCCTCATTCTTTTGAACACGAAGCCGGCCTTAAGCATCATGGCACCTCCCATGCTTCTCACAGTAAGTGCCAACCTACTGGATGAGTAGCCTTCAAGCGGTACTCCAGGAGCCCTGGGGGCCCCAAGCCAACCCTGCTTCCACCTTCAACCCTGGTCTTCTAGATTGGACTTACGCATAAGATAGTTTTCAAAGGAAGCATTCCATTGTATAAAATTTCTTAAAAAACATTTCTTTTTGAGCGCTGTTGTACATGGCAAGATCCCCTACCAGCCTTTGATGAAAGGTGGTATTAGTCTCCATCTCGGGGCACGTGTGGAGAGCAGGCCTGACGTCAGGCTCAGAGGTTTCTCTCACAGGCCTCAGCTCAGAAGGCTGGAGCTGTGGACCGGAACCCAGCCTTGTCACCTCCTGCCTGTGTGATGTGGGGCCTCTTGGAGCCTCAGTTTCCTCGTCCAGGCGATGACAGCCCTTTCCTCACAAGGTTGTCGTGAAGATTCAGTGCTTCCTTAGCACGGTGCCTGGCACATGGTAGGTGCTTGGTGCTTGGTGTAACTGGCAGCTCTCATCACGAATGATACTCTGGCCCTGCTGCCCCGGGTCAGCAAGTCGTCTTCACAACAGCAGCTCCCCGCCTGCGCACAGCCCTTTATTGCTTAGAAAGTGCTCTTCCAAAAAGTCATCCTGTGTGGGAGAAAAATGGTTTCGGTCCTTTCAGACCCTGCCTTTAAGGAGGCCTAGACCTCAAAGCCTTTTCAGACTTCCCATTGGATTAAGGACAATGTTTAATCCATGTGCAATCTGGGACTCCTAGAACAAGGAGCACACTTCCAGCTTCCCCAAAGGGCCTTGTTTAGATTGCTGATCATTAGAGCCAGTGCCCTGGTCTGGCTGACCGCTGGGGTCCAGTGGGGTATGTGCCAAAGGGATAAATGAGTGGGCCCTACCAGTAGGCCCTGAAATCCAGGATTGTTCAAACCCCCGAGGTATGTGTGGATCTGGGTCAAGAGCAGCTATTCTAATCTAGAGATTTTCAGACAAACAGTACATGGGCCAGTCAAGAGCACAACTGCTCGTGGGTCAGAGCCCACTGGAGGCCAAATGCTCCTTTTCTCCAAACCTGCCCCGCCCTCACTTCCACAAAGGGCCTGCCCAGGGGTGTAATTTTAGGGTCGGGGGAGAAGGAAAATCGCTACTCAAGACTGATCTCATTTTACAGATGAATAAACAGAACCACAAACACCAGGGCTGGTATGGCAGAGCCCCCCCAAAGCAGAAGAAACCCATCAGGAAGAAACCCAGGTGGAAAATTTCTTTGAAAACATTTTAAAAGAGAAATTTATTTGAATATCTTTTTTTTCAGTTTTTAAAAAATTTTAATTAACATACCATAAAATTAACTTTCTCCTGTGTAAAGTTCTCTGTGTTTTAACACATTCGTGTAACTACCTCCACAATCAGGACACAGGGCAGTTCCATCAACCAAAGAATTCCCTTACGCTGCCCCTTGGCAGTCACACCTTTGCCCCACACCAACCTCTGGCAAACACCCATCTCTTCTCCATTCCCTATAGATTTGCCTTTTCCACATTGCCACATACATAGAATCATAGAGGATGTCACATCTAGAGACTGGCTACTTTCTATCTGTCTTTGAGATTCACACATGTTGCTTTTTATGGCTAAGTGGTATTCCATTGTTGGATGTGCTACAGTTTGTTTTACCTTCACCCGTTGAAGGATGTTTGGGTTGTTTCCAGTTTTGGGTGATTTTGAATAAAACTGCTACAAATATTTGTGTATAGGTTTTTATGT